AAAGAAGAGTTACATATTGTTTATTATTCAACAACATATATTGTAATCATTTTCATTAAGGTTTGAAAAATTAAGATGTAAAATGGAAAAATTTATCTAATTCAATATAGTTTGTAATGAAAACCAAGTAATATTAGGCAATTACAAATAATATTAATTATTATATATTACTAATTGCTATCAATGAATTGCTTGCCAATTACAACTCAAATTAAAAATCTCTACCAATGTTTTTTCAAACATGTTGATCAAATCGTAAATTAGATAGCATACAAAATAATGATCTAGCGATCTGGGTGGACATTTTGATTGTTATCGTTCACGCAGAAAGAGATCGAACATGTGCAGAACTTTAGTGCAAATCCTATTCTGCATATCAAGCATTAACCGCATCTTGCGAATGCAAAGGAGATCCGAGTAATCCCGCACGTGCGACACTGTAATTAAATATTTGTTCGAGACGGGGAGATGCGGCTCTTCCGACATAAGTTTGCGTGCTGTCTAATTAAAGAGGCAATTAACTTAATCGTACCGTACTCGTTTGTTAGCGGTGCGTCCGAGATTCAAGATACTTTCCTTTCGTTATTTAGAAGTTATGTATAATTTCATATAGAATCACACCTTACATTCAATACAAGTGTATTTACAAGTTGTTGTCCACAGATGTTGATAAATGCAGATAAATGCAGAGAAACGATGAGAATGACATTGATCTAACAAGTTAGTTCCATTAAAGCTAATGTAATAAAATCTAGCGAAATGGATCTAATAAAAAACATTTTTTCCTAATTATTTCTTTTCATGATCATGTTTTTCATATGTCAATTAATACAATATATAATATTAAAATACTTTTCTAGAAATCATCTATTTAATAAAGAAAGAGATTTAATTATGTAAATTATATTATTTTTTAAAATTATTAATTACTTTTTTCTCATTCTTGAATATTTATTCTTTCCGATTATATGTGTTCTTATATTCTCTTTTAGTTTCTCTACGGATTAAAGGATAAATAAAGGATCTCGCTATCACCAAATGTTATTTTAGTGATTAGCTAAACATAATTTTTAAAACTTATAATAGATATTTAATACGTCTGTAAAGTTGAGATATGTAACAAAATGAAAATAACAATGCTATATGCTGCAATTAAATCTTAGAAATTTAAGTATCTGTTTACAGAAATATCTGCAGTGTGATAGCGCGAACAATGTAGTTCGCTATCACATCAATTGTGGCAGTGTTACATGTATACGTAGAGCTAAACTCGTTAAGTGTCTTTTTGGCTGCAAGCCAATGATTTTTGCATACAATATTTATCGTGAGTGTATCCAACCGATACCGGAATGATGTACGATGAACACGGTCGAGAAATACTCGTTTCATAACAGACAATTAGAACGCAGGATATATTCACTTAAGAGATTAACAATAAAACATGGACGATGTTCTGTAAACTCGTATTTTATGGAGCATTTTGCTTTTCTCCAGTAGCTTTCAATTTTTCATTTATATGTGTGTGTGTGTGTGTGTGTGTGTGTGTGTGTGTGTGTGTGTGTGTGTGTGTGTGTGTGTGTGATGATATTGGATTTACATATGAAACGTCGATTTTACAACAACGAAGAGTAACATCAGAGAAATTAGCTGTGCATTTAATGGAAATCATTTCCGTTATACTCGAAAAAAAATTCCAATGATAGTATTAATTTTTTTCCACTGCTACATACACGCATGCATGCATCTCATGTTGATATTGATTACTTTTGTATATGATTATATTGAATTATAATTAGTTGTAAGTTATAAAGTTTTTCAGAATATTATTTATATGC